CAGTGGCAGACAGACACACAGACAGACGGACAGCAAGGCTCACCCGCCCCCTTTGATAAGGTTGAGGTCAGAGTCCACTTCATCCGCCCCGTCGATGGCGACATCAAGCTGTAGGAAGAGGAGAAACTCGGTATGGCAACCTCTCCCAGGCAGCGTCAAGGCACTGCTCTTGGTGCAGCTCAGGAGGGTGTCAGATCCCAAGCAGCAGCCAGAAATGGCACTAAAGCTGGGAGCACCTCGACGCCAGCCTGACCAGAGACAAGCATCTGATCAGCCACCCAAGGCTTACCAGCCCCAGCTAAACCACAGGCATGTGAGAGCAGGAGAAAGAAAAACCCAAACCAGCTGGTGGCCTTCAAAGGCACATCACTGCAGCCCCTAGTGCTGTCAGTTGAGGGGTGGGAGAGGGCTCGGGGGGAAAATCTTGGTCAGAACACTTCAGTAATGCCACATTCCCATGTCAGGCCAGCAAGCTTCAGTGTGGGAGAGGTACCAAACACCTGGAGGAAATACAACTCGGCTGCCTACTTGCCATCTAAAGGGACAAGCACTGAGACAAGACTAAGGCTTGGGGGGAAAAAAAAAAACCAAACTATGCTAGTTCCGACTCGTGTTCGGCCGCGTGGCTGCCTAAACCCTCATCCTCAGGGAAGACCAAGGAGCCTGATGCTTTACGAAGGGCCAGGTTAGAGGAAAGTCGGGTGAGGTCTCACCTCCGCAGTCCCACTCACCTCTGGATGCCGGTCCAAGTCACTTAGTGTTAAGCCGTTCTGCAGGATCAGCTGACGGGCCTGTGCATCAAGAAGACAGCAAACACCATTTACCAGCGGCAGGGAAGGAAAACCGACTCGTGGCGTCATTCCCCCGGCTGCGGCAAGGATGGATTCTCCATGGGAGAGGCTGCAGGCAGCAGCGGGAACGCATGGCAAGGAGAAAATGATGCTTCCAGACCAGACTATTTTAATCAAAAGAAAACCCTGCTGCTGATCTGAACTAAAAGGCTCAGATGGTGCAACAGGACCTGGGTCCAGGTCCCTCCGTATTAAATAGCAGGAAGCCCCATCAGCTTCGTGGGAATCACTTGTATCTAAGCATTACAGCAGATATGGGGCTTTTGAGTCCTGTGTGGTTTCAGCTTGGACACCATTCTCCCTCGCACCCATCCAGCCCCTCTGACTTCCTTTGGCTGAAAAATGGGAGCAATGAAAATATTTTTCATATTGCAAAGAAACAAAAAAAAAACCACCAAAAAGAAAGGCAAACAAGAAAAGCGCAACTCATGGAAAAAGTGTGGGAAGCCTCCTAAAACATTTGTTTGGTGGCTCCCATCTACTTTTACTGAAGTGGCTGTGCATTTCCCTCTAGTGGCAATACAACACAGAGCACCCAGAGTTACCCTCCACACAGTCCATCAGTTTAAACAGGAGTTCGAGCTTACAGAACTTGGAATTTGTTGGATTTGCTGTGTTACAAATCATCATCCGAGTGAGACTCCCTCCTTGCACAGACTCTGCTCCAGTCTGAACTTCCCACCACGCTGTAGCTAATCCAAGAAACTCCAACGCAATAGCCTGGACCAGCTTATTCCCCTGAATTTTACCTCCTATCAAAACGCATCAGTATTGGCATCCCAGAAACATTAAGAACTAGCAGGTGGTACCCCTGGCGATGAGATATGATTGGAATCGCTTATCGTGGCATTTCATAGCATGCACTTCTGATCCCCACAGGCTGTGGGTTCTTGATCTGTGTACTACGATTGCCCTCAGGACTCACAAAATTAAAAGGATAAAAATCAGTGGGTTTACATTCATTACATGGTGGCCATGTAAAGAGGTATCAGGGATCCGGGAATTGAAAGCATTGAAAACCACGGTGCTGCACATGCAGGCCAGCTCCTGGACAGGCTTAGAGTCAGCAGCGTGGGAACGGGGTGGCGCTCCTCAGGCTCTCTGCTTGCAAGGCGATGGGAGCAGACTGGCAGGAATCAAAAGCAGAGCTCCCACAACTTGGGGAAAAGCGTTGGTCACTGCGCAGCCCTTGCCCAGAATGGTCTCGCTCCGTGCTCTCAGCACACGTCCAGGTGAAAAGGAGAAACAACGCAAAAGCCAAGGGACAGATACTTACCCCGGCTCTAGCTTTACTGGTGGTGATGGAATAACCCAACCTGACAACAGGGCAGGGAGGAGAACAAAAGCCCACTGAAACCAATTCTTCCTTGCCAGTGACCTCAGGCAGCCATTTACACCTGTACGTAGTGAAAATAAGACGCTGTTTTGCTGACCTGGGAATGCTTCACTTGGAATTGGTTGGGGTCTAAGAGACTGCGAAGGACACGAGGTAGCCCCGTGTCTGGGGGATTTGGGCTCCCGCAGGTGTACGATCTGCCTCTTCCCTTTAAAAGCAACCTTTTTTGTTTTACTGGTAAGAAAGTGTAGCGTTACACAAACTACCCCAATATTTCAAGGCAGGCCAGGCTCCAGCCCGCGTTCACTACAAGAGCTTCACCAATATTTTCTGTCAGACCTAATGACTGACCTCAGAGCACTTTTCCTAGGTTCAAACGGGACATGGTATCTCAGGATGGGGATCAATTCAGACAGATCAAAGACAGACTCTCCCCACAGTCTATATACACAACAGCAGTAGTGGTAGAGGTTAAAAAAGAAAAAAAAAAAAAAAATCTAGCTTTTACTTTTTGCCCTTTGCAGCAGTTTGTATTATATCCTAGTTGGCCACTTGTTCTTTGCAACAGCCAGGAAAAAAAGAGAGCGTCCCATGGCCCCACACTCACACGTGAAGAACACCCGCAGGGTAAGAGGATGTTAAGTTTTCGTAAGATTTTGGGATAATTCAGGTTGGTCTCTATCCGACCTCCAGGTCAAAGCAGGGTCAGCTACCAGGTTGCTCAGGGCTTTGCCCACTCAGGTCTTGAAAACCTCGAAGGACGGACTCCGCACAGCCTGCCTCACTGCTTGATTGTCCTCATGGTGAAAAAGTGGTGACAAAAGTACAGTCCCAGGGTCTCCACCAGGACACATGCCCAATTCCTCAAGTGGGGCATTGCCACCCAGCCTCAAAAACCCCACAGGTGGTCCCCATCACATCACCTCTCCCTGCCTGAAGGGGACAAGGTGACAGCGGCTCCTCTGCAGCGTTCCCACCTCAGGGAATAGAGGCAGAGACCAAAGCCAGTTGCCTGAAGGCATGGAAGCATCCCAGAAGCTTCCCTAGCAGCTCTGCATTTTACCATCAAGCGATGTTCTCCTCTCCCTGCAAACCTCTCAACAGCAAGCTTGGTATGAACCAAACCCTGCAAAAGCTGCACAGCAAAGGAAAAGTTAAGCTGATTTTTCTTCTGCTATTTCTTATAAAAGTCAGCTGAGGCATCTGAAGTTCCTCCTGAAAACGCATGAGCTTGATATTATTCCTTACATGATTTTTACAGCTTTCAGGGCTTGATAAAGAATCAAGGGAGATGAAGTGTCTCCAATGAGTTTTTCATTATAGAATCAAGAGAGTCATAGAATTGTTTAGGTTGGAAAAGACCTTGAAGATCATCAAGCCCAACTGTTCCCCTAACCCTGCCATCCCACCACTAAACCCTGGCCCTAAGCACCTCGTCTGCCTGGCTGTTAAATCCCCCCATCTCCCCTTCCCTGGGAGCAGAGCCCGATCCCCCCGGCTCCCCCCTCCTCTCAGGCAGTTGTAGGGAGCGATGAGGGCTCCCCTCAGCCTCCTCTGCTCCAGGCTGAACCCCCCCAGCTCCCCCAGCCGCTCCCCAGCAGCCTGGGGCTCCAGACCCCTCCCCAGCTCCGCTGCCCTTCTCTGGACACTCTCCAGCCCCTCCAGGTCCTTCGGGGAGGGAGGGGCCCAACCCTGACCCCAGCACTCGAGGGGCAGCCTCCCCAGTGCCCAGCACAGGGGCACAGTCACTGCCCTGCTCCTGCTGGCCACACCAGCCCTGATACAAGCCAGGCTGCCGCTGGCCCTCTTGGCCACCTGGGCACACTGCTGGCTCATATTCAGCCTCCTGTCAACCAGAACCCCCGCCTGAGGGGGTATTATGAGACTGGTTCACCACTAAACAGCATTTTTCCACAAGAAGGGTCCAGATTAAGCCACGCAACCAACACAACACGCCTCCTAGCACTACGGCATCCCCGCAGCTCCGGTCAGGGTAACACGGCACCATCACCACCAGCTTCATGAGGTCCATCTGCAGGCTGCATCACGGCTGCTTTGGGTTAACTCATGCTGCAGAGTAAGCCAGCCTGGAGAGCGGCGTGGTTGCCTCCCGCAGGCAAAGGGAAGATCCCCTGCGTTTGGACTAGCAGAACGCGAAGGAGGGAAGCGCTTACCTGAAAAGACGTCGGGATGCAGACAATCGTCAGGTTCTCCTGCTTAACCCGCTCGGCTGTAGGAAAAAAAAGAAAAAAGGTAGAATCCTCAGTTTGTTTGTGGGAGAACGAGGAAAAAAAACCACAACAGCTTTCACTTTAAGAAGCCTCAGTTCAGAGCAGCCCCTGTGAATCACTGCAATTACTTGCTTGGCTCGCAAATAACTCAGTCACGCTTGAAAACACAAACAGGTGCCACCCTGCACAGGCTAAGGCTCAGTTTCTACAGCCGGAATTGTTTAAACACCCACCCTGGCTCAGCCCAAGACACCACGACCCATTAACCTTTGGGTCTCCAGCATCAGAGAAGCCTCGTCAGCAAATCGTCACCGGGGAAATTAGCCCCACTCCCCCCGCTCAGTCCATTAGATGGGTTTTGCTGCGCTCCTTGTAAACAGAAAGCTTCAGCAGCTGTCTGAAAGGTTTTCTGGCTTGTTGCCTTAGGGACATCACATTCATTTATTATGGAACATTTAAATATATGGCAGGGGAAGGACTAATAAAATACAGTATTCCATTAAATGGAAGGAAACATTTCCTCCCCCAGGTTAACCTCAAATGACTAAAATCTATTACTAAGATATCATTATGGACAAAATGTTATTTTAGTAATTACAATACTTAGGCAGAAGCCAACAGCCCGAGAGTCAGCAACAGCACTTGCACCAGAGCAAGCACATGGGCTATGTGGTTCAAGGTAACGCTGCTGCTGGCAGGAGGGAAGATGCAATACGTGAGGCTGTGTGTTGTTACAACCCACGTCCCAGTGCGAATGCATTCAGTAGAGATGAGAAGTCAGAATTTGCAGCCCGGAACAGGCACACCACTTGAAATACTACACCCATTTATTTAGAGACTGATTCAGTGTTAAGAGTTGGGAGTGGTTGCAATATTGAGCCAAGCCCAGAAAGCTGAGCCGCAGCTCCCAGAGAAATCAGTGCATTGCACACACGGCGTGGGGTGAGGTGGGTGCTGAGGGGCACAGCACCATCCCTGCTGTGCCCCTGCGAAGCCAAGCACAGCGCGGTGCTCAGACCTCAGCCCCGCTCGCTCACGGTGGGCTTGGGGACGGCTCTGCCCAAGGGAGCTGAGGGTCACAGGGGGACTTCCCAGCCATGCAGAGCCACCCAGGTGGGACCCACTGAACTCTGCTTCCAAACAGGAGTCCCCCCGTGTCCCAGCAAGCCCCCCAGGAACAACAGGGCTGATGCTGTTCTCCTGTCCCCATCACACACGGCTGCTGTTTTGCATCCAAGGACAGAGGTACAGCACCTCCAGAGGCAGACTTGCCCTAGGGCTGAGAGTGCCCTGCGAAGGAAGCCTTAAACCTCTGCACCCTCTGTTAACGAGGTGTGAGGATAATTACCCTCACATTCACTTTGCAAAATTGCATTTGCCTCACTTGAATATTTTGCTGGAATTTTCTGAATCACACCTTGAGCAAACTTGCACCTGGGGCAAGCAGATAAACCTAGCTGCAGGGTATAAAAAAAAAAATGCAGCTGGATTTCATTCCTCATTTTCATTACACCTCCGCAGGGCCCTCGATGTGAATAACATGGACGTGAGCAAGCAGCACCAGCCGTACACAAATGGGTTAAGGGAAGCAGAGCAGCTGCATGGCCCAAAGCCACAAAGCAAGTCGGGACGGGGCAGAGCTGGAAGGGAACAGGGGGGGTTTAGCTCCAGTTTGCAGTGGGTGCCAGTAAAGCCCTTTGCCTGGCTGCATGGGGAGAACAGGTGGCAAATCATTACCTCCTCAGGACTCCCTACGCAGCGAATTTGGAGCACAAGCCCCCGTTTTAACCTTCGGCTTCAAGGAGGACGCGGCAGTCTGTGAACAGCCTGGATGCATCGGCTCTAAGTCAGCATCCAGACCATTTAGCATGATTTTCAAGTAGTTGGGCCGGCTGGACAAGGGGACTTTCTGCGGAGCGAGGGACGTGAAGGGGAGCACCCTACCTAATCGATTTACTGCGTGGACAATCGTAGAACCGCTTCCGATCCCGAGAACTTGATTGTTCTGCAAATCAAAGAGAGACAGAGGAGAGCTGTTACTGGGGGCTGCCTGCTGTTCCCAGTAGGCTCGACATTAGAAACACATGCAGGAGGAACCTTGCCCAGAGATGCAGGAGGAACCTTGCCCAGAGATGCAGGCTGACCCGGGCAAGGAAGGGAACACATTGCACCAGCAAGGGCATCACTGCTGCCTGGGGTTGAGGGATTTTAAGCAACTCACCCTCTCGTTAAAGGACACGTGCTTGCTAAATACCACCCCAGTCTGACTCTCAGGGTGTTCAATGCACGCTTACTGCTGGTTGCTGGCACTCCATGCAACCTCTCCCGCCGGAAAGCTGGGAGTTTCAGACAATACCACAAAGGAAGGAGCTGAAATAACCTCAAGATAACATCTCTCCCAGGAAGCCGCACAGTAAAAGCGTGGTTTGCTGCCAACGGTATTGTTAGTAAACAGTACAGATGCACCAGCAGCCAAAGCCAAGAGCACAGCAGCAGCTCCTACAGTCTTACCAAAAAACCCCTCCAACACGGTGTTTTGGAGAACTATCTGTATGAGAGGCCAGCAACACACCTGAAGGATGGGTGAGCCTGGCAGCGTATGCTGAAGAGGATCACAGCTGAACCACGGCTCAGCCCTGGCCTTTCTCTGCCTATGGTCTGGTTTAAGAAGGACCACTACTACCTGACCAGTCATACTGACACGCTTCTCAAAGGTGCTGCAGGGTGGGGATGGATGGGTGCAGTTGCGTTACCTCTGCAAGAAGATGCTCTGTGGTGTAAATCTCTGTTTATTATCAGCTCAGCCTCCCACCCACTGCGAGCTACCTGCAGCTTCTTGCACATTTCCAATTTTCAATGCACTTTCCCTTCTTTGGATGGGATCCAAAGCTTAAATTGACTTAAGGAGGCCTGATATCACTACAGAGACTTCGGATGAGAAAGGCTTGAAGCCAGCCAGAGATGCAGGCACGGAGCTGTTGTAGCTCTCGGACACAGGACAGGTCTGGAGCTCTTTCTCCACGTGCAGCAAATCCAGAGTTCAGCAGCTGTGGAAAAAGCCACACCTGCAGCATGTCAACCAGCTAAAATCTTACTGGCACGCAAGCTTGCCCGGAAAGGTAGAGCTCAAGGCAGGTCACATTCCTGGGATTAATGATTTCTCCTTCTTCTGCACGTTAAAAGCTTAAAAAAAACAAAAGTTCTCCAAAACCCAGCACACGACCAGAGACTCGGTTTACATCCCAGCCCTCGCTCATCACCGTGACTCTGCAAAAGATGGGGAATGCACCAGATCACAGCTGCACACCCGCGGCGCTGCCAGCAGAAACCCAATAGCTCCCGAGGCTTCTCCATTTCTCCTGCTCGGCAGGCAGAGCCTGGCCCTGCCAGCCAAGGAGGGGGCAAGCAAAGCTGCCGGGAGGCTGGCAGGCCACGGGCAGTACCGGTGTTCCCAGGAGACTTGTTTCGACCTGGGGAGAGGAAGTTTCTTCTCTTTGCCATCATATCTATAGGGTGGGAGAGCTCCTTGGAGCAGCCGCATGCCCTAAAGGGACAGGGAAAGCCCCAGCATCAGCCACTCTGCTGGAGTGAAGCGGGAATTGCTCACAAGGGTCCCAGCCCATCCCTGGAGATAAACTTGAAGGCATTTATCAGTGGTGAGGGGTGAATCACCCTCCCTTAGGCAGTGGCAAGACCTTGGGCTAAGTGGGTTTCCCAGAAAAACAGTTTAAGCCAGTCTAAACTGGTGCTGTCACAACCCCTGCCTTACTGTGGCTCCCACCTCTCCCTCTGCAGCTCCAACCCAGCCAGACCAGGGGCAAAACCAGCCCAAACCCATCCACTTCTAAAAACAGGGGCAGGGCAAATGTTGGTGAGAAGCAGAAAACAATGTCAGCATGCAAGGGGCAGGTCCAGCTCAGGACACCAAGAAGCAGCACCCCATGCAAAAAAAAAAAAAAACCAACAAAACAACAAAAAAAAAAGATGTTTCAGGTTGCTTACTAAAACCCCAGCAAACAAAACCAAGGCACAGAGCCACAGCACAGCTGAGGACCCACGTATGGACTCCACGAGTGGAGTCAGCAGTGACCACAGCATTTTCTCAGCTAACCCAAGGGCCTAGAGATGCTGCCCCAGAATTACAGATGCCGACAAGGCAGCGCACATCGAGGGGGTATCAGCAGCACCGCATGATCCAGCGTTAAGTTTCCAGGACTTGGATTTACACAGGCAAAGAGCAGGAAACAAATACAGTGCAAAGCCCAAAGTTTCCTCTTATTAATCCTAAGCCCCCTGGGGCAGCAGGACCTCCGGCTCTCGCCCATCTTTTAATTTCTAACGGAGACGCCAACAGGGCCTGCCCTCGGAGGCGTTCTATAAACGCAAAGCCAGCTCTTCCCAAGCAGCTTAGGGCTCTAAAGCCCCGCGCCACGTGCCAGCCCCTCTCCACTGAGCCGTCACTGCACCACAGCCCGTGGCACCCAAGGCTGGTCATCTCCATGTCCGCTCCGGCACGGGGGAACTCTGCTCCTACGGCTTCCCCGGGGACAAGCGCTGCGGGTAAACACACCGATCTGGCTTAAATTAAAAGAAACAAAGGGAAAAAAAGTTCTCCTCTCCCAATCCCCTCCCCTCACCCCCCAGGTTTACATCTGCCGCAGGCTGCACGAGGAGCTGCTGTGCTGGCACAGAGAGGGGTGGGCGTGAAGGAGGATGCCAAGCGAGGAGCCTGATCGAGGACCAAGCCCCCGGTGCCAGAGATTGACAGCACAGTTAAGCAGAAGAAATTTGTCCGGCATAACCGAACCCACATCGGTGGCGTCTCCCACAGGTCCCCGACGAGCACAGGAGGGAGTCTGCAGCTTGGCTTTCGGAGATAACGTTACTGCCTCTGCAAACAGCGATAGCTCTAACGGCCAAGCACAGAACTATCCGTTACCAACAGCAGCTGCACCCTCCCAGCGCACGCTGAAGGGGAGATGGGTTTTCCCTGCCAGCTGAGACCATCCTTGGTGGTGACTCCAACCTGCTTCTCCACCATTGCTTCAAGCCAGCTTGCACGGCAAGCATTGCAATATTACTGTGTCCAGTCCTGGGCTCCCCGGTTCAAGAAAGATGAGGAACTCCTAGAAAGAGTCCAGAGGAGAGCAACTAGGATGATAAAGGGACTGGAGCACCTCCCCTGTGGGGAAAGGCTGAGAGAGTTGGGCTTGTTCAGCCTGAAGAAGAGAAGACTGAGAGGGCACCTCATCAACACGTACAAATATCTCAAGGGTGGAAGTCACAAGGACGGAGCCAGACCCTTCTCAGTGGTGCCCAGGGCCAGGACAAGGGGCAATGGGCACAAACTGAAACATAAGAGGTTTCAGTTGAACATGAGGAAGAACTTCTTTACTTTGAGGGTGACAGAGCACTGGAACAGGCTGCCCAGTGGGGGTGTGGAGTCTCCTTCTCTGGAGATACTCAAAGCCCGCCTGGACGAAGTACTGTGTAACATGGTCTGGGTGACCCTGCTTGAGCAGGGGGGTTGGACTAGATGATCTCCCGAGGTCCCTTCCAACCCCTGCCATTCTGTGATTCTGTAATATTACCCCGGCCGCTGCCTATTTTACTTAAATCAGCCCCGCTAGCCAGGCCCTGAACTTTAATCAGCTGGGACATGACCAGAAACATCGTCCTCAGTTTGTTTGACCATAAAACAGCACAAAAGCCTGCTGTTTCACTAGGCAAAGTCCAAAATGAAGAGTCACGTTGTAGCCCAAATCAAAGGCGCACTCAGCTCGTGACAACCCGCAGCAGCGGCCGTGCCTCGGCTCCGCACCCTGCGGCACAAAGTCCGTCCTCCAGAAACCCCTCAATGCGCAACTTTGGGGCTTGCTTTGGGTAAGAAAGGGGGTTTTTATGCAACTGCCGGTCCATTCCCCAGGCTCCCCCACCCCACTTTTTGAGCGTGTTGGACTGGCAGAGGGGTAGGTCTCAAACAGCGTGTGGCTGTGCTCTCTGCAGGCAGGTACAGAGGAGGGAGAGGCAGCAAAACAAGTGAAACACTTATGGGACATCAGGGAAGCCGTCAGCAATCGAAGATCAAGACCACAAGCTGGCAGGGGGAGCGGGAAGGAAGAGGGAATTTCCCCACTGCTAACATCTACCTCCCTGGCAGCACTGCTGTTGCAAAAGGGCTTGCACAGCAAACATTGCGATAAACCACTGCGTGACTTTAACCGTCGATCTTCAAAGCATTCGCGATCAGGCTGTGCCAAACCTCAAGCAGCTCCAGTCCTATCTGACCTTCAGGGGGTTCATTAAAGCCCTTTGCTGTGTTTCCCTCCCTGCAGAGGACAGGACATGACCCCCCGGTTAGGGGCTGTTGCTCCTTGCTTGGGTGCTCAGAAATAGCGTGCAGCAGCGGAGCACCCCAGACTTGGAGAAAAGCGCAGGGCAAAGCATTAGCCTAACTCCCACCGCAGCCCAGCTTGCAGGAGGGTGCACGGTGAAAGTTGAGAGGTGCAAGACATTACCCCGAACTCGGGGGGCATGGTGCCGAGTCGGGCAAGGCATGGAGACGCTGCTGGGAGGTGCACGCTGGGCAGAGACCGGAGGGGAAAAGCAGTTTTCTTCCTTCTCCCCAGGCTAAAGGAGTGGCAGTCCAAAGCCAAGGAGGAAGAGGCTCAGCGGGGCCCATCCGTGCACCCCAGGGTCCCTCCTTGCACTCTGGGACTGTCCGTGCTTTGTGGGGGAGCAAGGAGTCCGTGCACCCCGGGGCTGCTCCGTGCACTGGAGGGGTTCACCAACCCAAAGCCTGTCCATGCACTGGGGGGGAGTCCATGCACCCCACCGCCACTCCATGCATTGGGGAGGGGTCCATGCA